TCCTGAGGGTTTCAGTGATACATGTGGTCTCACCTTAGGCAAGTGAGTTTGTTCAAAATTGCTTCTGTTCATCCAGCAGAAAATGGGTACCCGGTGGGATACTTCATGTGATTAGTATCCTTCTAGCGCCTCAAAGGCAGCTTGGGTTGTCCGGGGTAATAATGTCAGTTGTACTGTTGTTAGCGCTATGAGCTTTCACCCAGTGAATGGAAAGAGAAATATCACCAGTCTTACGAAAGTCACAAGACTAATGCTCAAGGGTTATTTGATCAAAATTGATCACACCAGATAATAACTGTAAATGTTTTCAAAATGTTTCAGGGTGGACATAAAGAGGACATTTCCAAAGCTCTTGCATCAGTAACGAAACCGATGTCCGGTGCATTTCCCTATTACGACCTAGGTAATATGGTCCAGTATTTTTCATTGAACGATTGTCATGGCTTTGCACGTATTTGCGACGAGCGACACCAGTGGGACAGGCTAAGCTAAGCTTTTTGCGAACACCAGTTATCATAACCATTTGATAGTGATTCATAAACACATGATCTTGATATAATTGGAATCTTACGATGAATTCTACTTTAACTGGAGATTTCTATCGACTTCATGAAATTGTCACGGCTAGTTTGTTCTTGAAAGTAAATGGTATCTGTGTCTGGGCATAATCAAGCTATTCTCTAGTCATGACGTTTCAAATGTGTTGATTATAGTAGGAATGGTTTCATTGATTGTTCATATCAATTAGAATATCCGATATATAGGTAAGAATCGATCTGCACAACACTGTGATTCTGGAAAGAAACTACCAAACTGGGGATCGGATGATAATAATGTCTGACCTTGGTCATTGTGTGTCTTCTAACCCGAATGGTGCGGGATCTGCTCATCATTTCAACCACCTGTTCTAGGCTTTCTAAATGTAAGGATTTTTGTGGCCTTAAATAACACTCGAGTATACACTGATGTAGTGGCGAAATCCCACAGTTGCGACAAGGACGCCTCCGCGAAGTTATCAATGTTATCGTGTTGTTGCTTGTTATCGTGTTGACAAAGAAATGTCTCCATAATTCATGAACTATTTAACTGACAAAACTACATTATTTGGCTGGAAGTAATTAAATGAGAGGAGGAAACAGTTCTACAATGCTCTGCTCAACTTGCTAAGAAATGGATGTTGATCGTAATTGTCCCAAAATCCATTTACTGACAGATGTATTATCTCACTGTGATTTGACCGGTAGCGGCTAATTTGATAGACAAACGTGGGCAATATAACTGTAATTGGAGACTGTATAGCGTTGTGAACACCTATTACAGTTGGGCTACACACAACCTTCCTGTTTTGTAGTCACTATACCATGATGTTAATAATTGTATTCCGCAGATGCGCCGATGAGTATAATAGCATATAGCCATTATTGATGGTACTTAGAGGCTCAATTTGGATGTATTGGCTGAATACGTCAGTGACATGTGTTGAACTTTCTATGGGGCATAAGCGATTGCCTGTATAAATCATCAGTGAGTTTATTTTGTCACATGTGAAACCTTACGATACACGTGCTTCTGTTAACTGATAAGGTGACGTAGAGATGAATCAATACGTTCCACAGCAGTGTTAACTCTGTAGTTACGAACAACTGTGCATCCAATTTGTCAGATAGAACACACTTCCACAAGAATTGTCCAGGAGCCTTGGAGGAACGACTGCCGAATGCCATAGTCCGCGTTGCAACTGTCCTGACTTGAATCAGTTTGTGATTTGTTCACAAGCAAAGACTGACGACGATTGAAACCTTTGTAAAGTTTGGTATCGTCCCCATAGAGATGAAATTGTAGATTGTGTGATCGGATTATTTCTACAAACGTTGATGTATAAACAGTAAAGAGTAACGGTCCTAAGAGTGAAACTTGTGGAACTCCATAAGGAAGGTCAACTTTGCTGGACGTTATCCCATTGTAGGATTCGATCCCATTTGCAAGTAGTGACGGCTGTCGACCTGATAGGTAGGGTTCAATCCACTGTAGACCACTACTAGTCCCTCCTATTCTTGGTTCTAGTTTGCGAAGTTGAACCTTGTGGTCAGCCTTGTCAAATGCGGTAGACAGATCAAGTAGAACAAGAATAGCTTCATCATCTGTGTCAATAGTACATGTGATGAACCTGCTGGTTTGAACATGAGGTAGTGTCTTACCATGATTTGATATTGAATTGTAATTAGGTTCAACGTTTAGGATAAATCCATGTACGGCGGATTAGGTCCCAGGAAACCTCATGATTGCACAAAGACCAAGCAACAGAGGACCGGGATGTCAGGCTGTGTCTCTTGGCTGTGAATATGGCCATCATACTGACTTGTAATTACCTCACCACCAAGGAGACCACCACCAGGTTGATATCTTTAGCTGTAGTAAATGAAAGTGGTACAAATGACTTGATGATGATTTGTGGCCGTCATGACGAACACTCTCCTGTGAGTATGAGGTATCATGTCGAGTTTACTGATAATTCAAACACGTCAGTACCATATCTCCTGGGGGATGTTGTATTCGTGGTACAAAGGCACCACCCCATTGTCCTAGGACGAAATCATAAACAAATCACGTCATTGTTGCTATGACTTTATGTTGTTGCCACATATTACACGATTAATATATTGTTTGATACCCTTCGAAGTCCTTTTCTAAGGACCAGTGTGTTGATGAGTGACACGCCTGATATGGTGGATGATCGTTTTTTACACTATGTATTCGTTCAGGCCAAAGAACCTGATAGATTTATACGCATCATTTATACTTGAACATCTCCTTAAAACCAATACAACCACAGGGTATATTGATAAACATATTCCGACATCCAATACGACCACAGGGTATATTGATAAACATATTCCGACATCCAATACGACCACAGGGTATATTGATAAACATATTCCGACATCCAATATGACCACAGGGTATATTGATAAGCTTACTCCGTGATCACAATGAGGTAATGTTTTTCTTTGTCATAACAGGCGATCAATGGATTCAGCAGTAGTTTGCACTGAAGCACGGGATTCCCAAACAGAGCAGACCCCGTGTGTGGCTGTCGGATCTTGGGGTATTGTACCCTGGATGGTCATTGTCTCTGGACTTTACTTATATTTCGTGTGAAGTTCGATTATTTACAGATAACTGCTGTCTTGCTTGACGACCGCGGTGCCGAACAACATTCAATCACCTACCGGAATAATTAATCCCGAGACTAATGACGGGTCAAACTGGACCTACACTGCTCCATTGTACAAAGCGATCGTACAGCTTCGACTTCCGTAAGTGAAACGGCGCTCTAGATGATGTTATTGAAATACGTGCAATCACCAAAGATGCCCATCAAACGTCAAGAGGAGATTTGATTTCGGTACATATTCATAGAGAGTTCGTAGCAGAACCTGATCATCCTGAAAGGTGCCATTTTGGGCACCGTCGGTCAGTTCTGTGACGACATTTTAGACCACAAGTGGGTACTTGGAAGATAAGATGACGTCTGGTCTATTGATGCTATTTGTGTAAGAATAAGCTTTAGTGTCAGTAATAACGCGCCCAGTCGTGTCCACATACTGCCCTGATTCCTTTTTATAATAGACAAGGTTAAAAAGGAAGACATTGTTGACCACAGCTGTCCTCGTGTGGCTTCATCAGAAATGTTTGACGAAGAATGGTGTTTGCAAAATACTACTACATGTATCTGTGATGCTATTATTACTGAAAATACCACCTACACCACCCTCCTTATTCTGAACTCTCTGGGAGGTATACAACTCATGCTACGCTGAAAGGTTCTTACATCCACCTCAAATGAAACGTCTGGGCCTGCGTCACTTTAGATTTTGAATCGTCCATAGGTGACGGTCCTTCAGGTTCATCTTCAGAAAGTATCCTATCTGAACCAACATCACAACGATTCTCCAACATGAGAGGCCCGCGTGATTGATTACATAACGCGTAATGACAATTCAGCCAAACTACAGGAACAGGATGAATAACGATCGACCTAAACACCAAAGAAAGTGGAATACGTGTAGTTTTTGTCAATCAGTGATTTAGTACTTTCCTGACATGATTGGAAAACCGTTTAAAGATGTGTGTTAGCCCTGAAGGAATCACGGGCTTTTGTGGGCTGTTTGTTTCTTTCATGTTGCAGTACTCGGAAATGACAAAACACTATCTCTCTCAGATATTCTTTGATGAATGATTCATGAAATGAACATCATCTTAATAAAATCGATATGATCCCAACATGCGGAAGATGGTCTAGTGTTTTTTTTCCCAATTGGACGTGCTTTAGAATGTCTAACATGGCAAACAGAAAACATCACATGTGCTCCTAATTATTAATACAGACCTCAGGTTTAGTCGGGTCGACAACAAACTTGGGATGTATATCACAATGAAGTTTGTGGTATTTTGTTAACAGTTCAACTACATTTCTAACTATACCTGTTTAATTACTAACATTGGTACTTACACCCAATTCTGTTTCTAAATACCGTTATTTGTAAGAGAAACCCCATAAAACACATCCATTTATTTCCCTTTTTCATCGTATTGTGATATTAAATCATTTCTGTTTCAGAGTAACATAATCTATGAGAAGACGTATGTACGCTCCTTCTTTGTCAAAACATCGAAAGGCTCTCTGCAAATACGTCCCAGATTGTTTCCGCTGTTCTCTCGTTACATCCTGACTCCCCCGGGACAATGAACTGCAGCCCCTAATGGCGGAGGAGAGGTGACATGAGTAAAGTCCCTACCTGGCAACACAGGTGTTTAGCTACCTAATTGCTGGCAACTGTGTGTCAGTGTTTACCTAAACCATGCCGTGGATGTAGATTTAATACCAGAGAACCAATCCAACCTGGTAATGATAGGAAGAATGTGGGACAAAGCTGGTCATTTGAAGCTAGCTGGCGGCTTGTCTGAGCATTTAAGTCACCATCAAGGACCAAACTCACCCCACAGAGAGGTACATTAGCACCGCGGCTGTTGTAGCCCGTCATCAGTGTTTCGGACTCGTAACGTCAATGTTGACGTTATTACTTTATTGGATGTTAAAGGTGTACTGAAGCATAAAGCTATTCTAAGAATACGCAGCTCCACTTATAGGGAAGTGCATACAGGCGTATAGGTGAGACAGTTGTACGTGGTTGTACAAAAATATCGTTTTATTAATTCCACTGTTGGTAAAGTATACAGAACACCTACTAGCGTCAGTTGAAACCATGTATGCGAGTTGAAGGCACCAAGAAGTGAAGAAAACAAACTAATGTCTGTTTTCAGACTACCTCAACATGTGAGCCTGACAGACGTCGTCAGATTGTTACATGGATGAAGAGGTCGCGTTGGCGTTCAATGATAAGAAAACACACTTTGATGCGATTTCTTATCTCAGACATAAAACCTGCTCAAACCGTCTAAATGATCTTTTGATAAGAACTCAGATGCAAAAGACAGTTTCAAAGCTATCAGGTTTCTAAATTCAATAAAACTATAGTGTAAAGGGGTTAACCAATTTGTGAACACACTAGACTTCACGTGGGAGTAAGCATTTGAAAACGTACGCAAATTAGTCTGAGAAGTACGTTGATTTCAACTTAAGATATTTCGACTATTCTTTTTCACATTTCTCTTAATCCCTCTTCGTCGTTCTAAACTCACCCTCGCACACAAACAGAGTCTGTGACATAACTATTGCATGTATGCATCATAAGCACATGAGTCCATGTCAACTGATGCTGGAAAGGACATGAAGGACATGAAGGTAATCATCGCAGCTGTCTATATTCTCAATACATCGTACAGATAGATTAATGAAGAGAAATATGACGTAACCCATGTCCGGTGCATTTCCTATGTTGACTAAGGCCATATGATCCGGAGTTTTTTCATTGAATGATTGGCATGGCTTTGCATGTAGTTGCGACGAGCGACACCGGTGGGACAGGATACGCTCAGCTTTTCGCGAATAGTTATGATAAACTATTCGATAGTGATTACTAAACACATTAACTTGATATAATTGAAATCTTACAAGGGATTCTGTTTAAATTAGTATTTTCTACTGACTTCATGACATTTGCACAGCTGTTTTGTGCTTGAACCAATTGGAATCTGTATCGGTGGATAATCAAGCTATTATTATGAAGTTTCAAATGTGTTGATTATTGTAGGAATGGTTTCCATTGATTGTTCATATTAAGTAGAATATCCGATATGTAGGTTAGAATCGGTCTTCACGACACTGTGATTCTGGAAAGAAACTACCAAACTGGGGATCGGATGATAATAATGTCTGACCTTGGTCATTGTGTGTCTTCTAACCCGAATGGTGCGGGATCTGCTCATCATTTCAACCACTAGTTCTAGGCTTTCTAGATGTAAGGATTTTTGTGGCCTTAAATAACACTCGAATGTACACTGCTATAATGGAGACATGGACGTTCAGTGACATCAGGACACACACACAACCCCACAGTGGGGACATGGACGCCCTAGCTAGGTCAACAATGTTATCGTGACGAGGGCACATTGCTTGTTATCGTGTTGACAAAGAAATGTCTCCATAATTTATGAACTATTTAACTGACAAAACTACATTATTTGGCTGGAAGTAATTAAATGAGAGGAGGAAACAGTTCTTATTTTCTATAATGCTCTGCTCAACTTGCTGAGAACTGGATGTTGATCGTAATTGTCCCAAAATCCATTTACTGACAGATGTATTATCTCACTGTGATTTGACCGATAGCGGCTAATTTGATAGACAAACGTGGGCAATATAACTGTAATTGGAGGCTCCACGAATCAATACAAGTGCAGCGACTGTATAGCGTTGTGAAGAGCTATTACAGTTGGGCTATACACAACCTTCTTGTTTTGTATTCACTATTCCATGATGTTAATAATTGTATTCCGCAGATGCGCCGATGAGTATAATAGCATATAGCCATTATTGATGGTACTTAGAGGCTCAATTTGGATGTATTGGCTGAATACGTCGGTGACATGTGTTGAACTTTCTACGGGGCATAACCGATTGCCTGTATAAATCATCAGTGAGTTAATTTTTTTGTCACATGTGAAACCTTACGATACACGTACTTCTGTTAACTGATAAGGTGACGTAGAGATAAATCAATAAGTTCCACAGCAGTGTTAACTCTGTAGTTACGAACGACAGTGCATCCAATTTGTCAGACAGAACAAACTTCCACAAGAATGGTCCAGGAGCCTTGGAGGACCGACTGCCGAATGTTATGATCCGTGTTGTAACTGTCCTGACCTGAAGCAGTTGTGATTTGTTCACAAGCAGAGACTAACGACGATTGAAGCCTATGGAATTTGGTATCGTCCCCATAGAGATGAAATTGTAGATTGTGTGATCGGATTATTTCTACAAACGTTGATGTATAGACAATAGAGAGTATAGGGCCTAAGACTGAACCTTGCGGAACTCCATAAGGAAGGTCAACTTTGTTGGACGCTATCCCATTATATGATTCGATCCCATCTGCAAGTAATGACGGCTGTCGACCTGATAGGTAGGATTCAATCTCATCTGTATGTACAGATTGTTGTCGGCCTGATTCAATCCCATCTGTATGTACAGACTGTTGTCGGCCTGATTCAATCCCATCTGTATGTACAGATTGTTGTCGGCCTGAATCAATCCCATCTGTATGTACAGACTGTTGTCGGCCTGATTCAATCTCATCTGTATGTACAGATTGTTGTCGGCCTGAATCAATCCCATCTGTATGTACAGACTGTTGTCGGCCTGATTCAATCTCATCTGTATGTACAGACTGTTGTCGGCCTGATTCAATCCCATCTGTATGTACAGACTGTTGTCGGCCTGATTCAATCCCATCTGTATGTACAGACTGTTGTCGGCCTGATTCAATCTCATCTGTATGTACAGACTGTTGTCGGCCTGATTCAATCTCATCTGTATGTACAGACTGTTGTCGGCCTGATTCAATCCCATATGTATGTACAGACTGTTGTCGGCCTGATTCAATCCCATCTGTATGTACAGACTGTTGTCGGCCTGATTCAATCTCATCTGTATGTACAGACTGTTGTCAGTCTGATTCAATCCCATCTGTATGTACAGACTGTTGTCAGTCTGATTCAATCCCATCTGTATGTACAGATTGTTGTCGGCCTGATTCAATCCCATCTGTATGTACAGACTGTTGTCGGCCTGATTCAATCTCATCTGTATGTACAGACTGTTGTCGGCCTGATTCAATCCCATCTGTATGTACAGACTGTTGTCGGTCTGATTCAATCTCATCTGTATGTACAGACTGTTGTCGGCCTGATTCAATCCCATCTGTATGTACAGACTGTTGTCGGCCTGATTCAATCTCATCTGTATGTACAGATTGTTGTCGGCCTGATTCAATCCCATCTGTATGTACAGACTGTTGTCGGCCTGATTCAATCTCATCAGTATGTACAGACTGTTGTCGGCCTGATTCAATCCATCTGTATGTACAGATTGTTGTCGGCCTGATTCAATCTCATCTGTATGTACAGACTGTTGTCGGCCTGATTCAATCCCATCTGTATGTACAGACTGTTGTCGGCCTGATTCAATCTTATCTGTATGTACAGACTGTTGTCGGCCTGATTCAATCCCATCTGTATGTACAGACTGTTGTCGGCCTGATTCAATCCCATCTGTATGTACAGACTGTTGTCGGCCTGATTCAATCCCATCTGTATGTACAGACTGTTGTCGGCCTGATTCAATCCCATCTGTATGTACAGACTGTTGTCGGCCTGATTCAATCTCATCAGTATGTACAGACTGTTGTCGGCCTGATTCAATCTCATCTGTATGTACAGACTGTTGTCGGCCTGATTCAATCTCATCTGTATGTACAGACTGTTGTCGGCCTGATTCAATCCCATCTGTATGTACAGATTGTTGTCGGCCTGATTCAATCTCATCTGTATGTACAGATTGTTGTCGGCCTGATTCAATCCCATCTGTATGTACAGACTGTTGTCGGCCTGATTCAATCCCATCTGTATGTACAGACTGTTGTCGGCCTGATTCAATCTCATCTGTATGTACAGACTGTTGTCGGCCTGATTCAATCCCATCTGTATGTACAGACTGTTGTCGGCCTGATTCAATCTTATCTGTATGTACAGATTGTTGTCGGTCTGATTCAATCTCATCCGTATGTACAGACTGTTGTCGGCCTGATTCAATCCCATCGGTATGTACAGACTGTTGTCGGCCTGATTCAATCCCATCTGTATGTACAGATTGTTGTCGGTCTGATTCAATCTCATCTGTATGTACAGATTGTTGTCGGCCTGATTCAATCCCATCTGTATGTACAGACTGTTGTCGGCCTGATTCAATCCCATCTGTATGTACAGACTGTTGTCGGCCTGATTCAATCCCATCTGTATGTACAGACTGTTGTCGGCCTGATTCAATCTTATCTGTATGTACAGATTGTTGTCGGTCTGATTCAATCTCATCTGTATGTACAGACTGTTGTCGGCCTGATTCAATCCCATCTGTATGTACAGACTGTTGTCGGCCTGATTCAATCCATCTGTATGTACAGACTGTTGTCGGCCTGATTCAATCTCATCTGTATGTACAGACTGTTGTCGGCCTGATTCAATCTCATCTGTATGTACAGACTGTTGTCGGCCTGATTCAATCTCATCTGTATGTACTGACTGTTGTCGGCCTGATTCAATCCCATCTGTATGTACAGACTGTTGTCGGCCTGATTCAATCTCATCTGTATGTACAGATTGTTGTCGGCCTGATTCAATCCCATCTGTATGTACAGACTGTTGTCGGCCTGATTCAATCCCATCTGTATGTACAGACTGTTGTCGGCCTGATTCAATCTCATCTGTATGTACAGACTGTTGTCGGCCTGATTCAATCCCATCTGTATGTACAGACTGTTGTCGGCCTGATTCAATCTTATCTGTATGTACAGATTGTTGTCGGTCTGATTCAATCTCATCTGTATGTACAGACTGTTGTCGGCCTGATTCAATCCCATCTGTATGTAC